TAATTGGGTACCAGAGGCGAATGTTGTCACATTTGCTTTGGGGCCAAGTTTACGGAGCTGTCATAAGATGCGCTAACGCCATCGGTCATCTCTTGTTGCCCCTGCCAATTAAAAGGGCCCTGTGTGCCAGTTGTCACGAGCGAATGTGAAAACGTGTTACTGACATCATCCAATATAACGAGGTCTTCAAATGCTCTTCTGCCTTCGGGGGCAGGGGATCATTGATCATTTGTGAAGCCTATTCAGTTTAATGCACCCGTATTGTATGTTCACATATGACCATTTAAAAAGGCTCCTGTCTTTCTGAAACGTTCCCGTCTTTATGAGCGACGGACATCGTTTAAGAACCTACTAAAGCTCACTGTATTTTAAACATACGAGGCGATCTATTTATCGATACCCCCAACCCCCGCCCATTAAAATAATAGCGATAATTTACGGAAATTTGGTTTGATTTAAAAAAATATCCCTAGCGTCAGCAGAGGCATGAGCGAGCAATTGCAGGGCTGCACCTTTACCGCGCGGTCGCCATCTCTCTCACGGCCCTGGGATGCCAAACGGTCTCTCTCTCTCTCGGTCGCCCTGTGCACACGAGCCCATTCCTGCAGTCTGCGTCCACGTTGGACATCCTCTGGGGCATTACCCCCCTTGGTGTCAAACGCCCATCGCAGAGGTCGCAACCGGGTACCCGATACCCGTACCCTACCCGATACCCGGGTACGGGTAGCCGTTTGCGACCCTGGTGCGGCCGGGTACGGGTAAGGAATCAAAACCCGTTTGCGACCTCTGGCCCATCGTCATCCCTCCATTGCCTTGACATTTTAAGTTGCGCAACGTCGGGAGGGTGCGGGAGGTGCGTGCGTATATTTTTATGCCTCGGGTGCAAATGAATCATATTGCGATTGCTGGGCTTTGCCAACGTCTCTTCCCAATCACTGCTTTCAGAGAACACAGTCGAGTGTGACATTTAACAAAACACCTATCAGCATCTCAGACCACTGTGAGGTCTCGCTCTCCACCACGTGCGCACACGCGTCTAAGCAGTCGACTTATTCCACGCGGATTGCCCGAACAACCAAGACAATTTGACGCAGCCCCTCTCTCCAAACAAAAATCGAGTGCTTGCTTGAAGTCCGCATAACAGGTTCAAAGAGTCTTCCGCCAATACTGAGCTCTTCTCTATTCGTTGCCTGACTTTTAAAAAATCGTATCACTTCCAACCATACCGACTCTAATCCCACAATGATTTACATCTTTTCGATTTGAAGCTTTCGTGACTGCAGGGATTCATCTTCTTGGTTCTTTCGGTAAAGTCACGTAGAAGGGAAATAATAAAATAATAAAATAAAACATTATAAAATACAACTCTCACGACGTTTCGGCCACAACGCAAGCAGCACGATAATAAGAAAATCCTCGTCAGTAACAGAACCCCCCTTCAGTATTCTCATCCTCTGGCCAAATATTTTTCACCGCTGCCCGAATATTTATTGAAACGATTCCGCTGGGTCTTTGGGCCGCAAACTTTCTCTCTCTCTCTCTCTCACCTCGGGACGGAGAGCGGTGGGAGAAAGAGACCAAAATCGTAAAACGGAGCCGGGAGCGACGATTTGTCGCGACGCGCGGGAAGCCACTTGGCGAGAGAGAAACAGGAGGAGCACCGGACCCCCGAGACATCGGTGACAGTGAAGCATCAAGAGGGTTGCTAAGCGAGGTTAGAGTGTTGCGGAACGCTGTGTTTTAGTTTAATGGGGCATTTTTTTGTTGCCAGTATAAAGACGATGGGGGGGGGGGTGTAAGAAGAGGCTTTATCCTTTTCGGCAATAAAACAGGAGTTGTGTTAAGATGTTCACACGCCAATTGGATAGCTTTTGCAAGGCATCAATTCTGCATTAACCACACGTGAGTGTGCCAAGACGTGCAAACAGACATGCTCTGATAATTATGAGATTGCATTGTCGTTGAAACTGATTGGCCTACACCAGACAGCCTTCTGTCTGGTCTCGTCTAACCAGTGTTCGGCCAGAGAACAACGCCCAAGGGCGAACAGAGTTGCGAATGCAGTGCAAGTATTGAAGCGTTCAGTAGCTCGGGATGAGCAGTTTCTACATCCATGGGAGCCTGGCTACGTACGGTGGGGGTGGAAGCAAGTGGGGCAACGGACAGCACCAGTCCACACGTGTCACATGTCGAACTGTACAACAGCTGTGGAATGTGTCAGAGGGAAGCCCGATGTGCCGTGGCATGGACTGGCACTCTTGGCCGAGACGAGCCCACCAACTTAAACCCAAATGCCTCCACAGCAAAGGCCCCACACGCGCGCGCTCTGAAGTGGCCTTTGAACTGCAGCTCTGTTTTTTTTTAACTACACACCATCGTCTTCAGTGACTGCGCTCAATACACAATGCGCGTCCCACTGTTGTGTACACCGTCTTCTTGTATGCACGTTTGACTTCTTTCACCCTTGGAAAAGAGCTGCTTAGGCTCAACGGGTTATTCACTCGGATGATAAACTTCCGAACGAACGTCTGATTCTTTCGCCAACCGCGCGGATCGGAGGATACCGTTGCAGGTAGATTCTTCAGAATTCCAAACGGTGGTTGATGGGATAATAACCTGCGTTTGTCTCTTACTCTTTTCACGTTTCATTTACTTATGTGGAGCGACAGCAGGAACATTAGAGAGGTTATCTTGGACCAGGAGCGTAACAGACAGGAATACAAGGGTGAATATAAATAGGAATAAAGGAGTTTTAAGATCAGTTATATGATGGTAATTCATGTCAACACAAAGTAGGGTAGGGAAATCTTCCTCTGGAGGGATTATAGTTGAGTGATGAATCATATTATCCACAGTACTGCAACAAATCCTGGATTACCGGCAAAGCCCACATTCCAAAGTGCCAGATAAAAGGGGAAAAACCTATTCTAATATTTTGGTACTGGCAAAGGAGGTCCCATGCTGTAGATGCTCACCCCGAGCCCTCATTACTCTGATAATGCATTGTCTTTGTGCTGTACGCCTTTTAGCGTCCTCTGGTCTAACACCGTTTGAGACGAGGCTCAAAAGAAAGCTGTCTCTGGTGTGGACCAATCAGTTTCAAAGACAATGCATATATTATCAGTGTTTTTTGTTTGCATTTTGACCACAAGTATTGTGGTTAATGCAGACATGATTCCTTGTAAAAGGTTTCAGTTTGGTGTTTTAACAATGTAACACCTGTTTTGTTGCCAGATAAAAGGGGGAAAACCTATTCAAGGATTATATTATTTTCCATGAATAGTGAAATTATAACTTTTTCAAGCATTCGCTTACCGATGTATCGGGGGACGACCATATCATCGCAGACAAGAGGAGTCCGTATACGACTTATTTTCATCATACAATAATTTACAGCCATTTGTCAATCCACGCTGCGCCGACAGATTGGACCACAGCTCACCACAACTGCTCCACGTGGGTTCAGGCATTGCTCGCGACCGATTGATGGTGCGGTTCACTAATCCACCGTCCCACCGCTCCACCCTTCATCACGTACTCACAAAGTTTTAGAGAACTGATACCCCATGCAAATACAATGCGACGTACGACACCGTGGTAAATCCGTGAACTTGTATTTCCTTAAATATCTCGTGGCGACAATATCTGCCCGCGAGTGATGTAAACATAATTAAGTAACCACGTGCGGCGCTGTGTTTAAAGTGCGTCGGTAAGCAACAACGGTGACGAAGAGCCACACTGCCTGTCGTAAATGACCACGGACAGAAGAGTAAGATATTAAAATGTATAAATCAGGTCTCATGGCTCGCACTTCTACGTCATTTCGCCTACAAGTGTGGCGGCTGATGTCGTATAGTACAGTGGACACATTTACCTTTATTTAAATCCCAGCGAGGGCCCAGTGCGATGAAGAATCTTACTCAATTCAGGGAGACCAACCGAGTGTCATTTTAAAATGCACGGTTTATAAAAAAAAAATAGGCGTTAGTTTACCACGTTCATCAGTGGCACAAATTTTTTGTCTTAAGCGCTATAATGTTGAGATGAAGTGTGGCTGTCGGGATGACAACGCAGACACCAGAGAAGTGCCCTGGAATGCACTTGAGAGGGTCCACATCTTCCACTCTTCCAGTGATTCCGGCTTCGATGAAAACACTCGGTTGAAAACGTCAACAAGTGGACATTGCATCTCCTCCACGGATACGACTACTCATCCACTACTCCCCCTTCACGCACAACCCACTGCTCTTCTCAAGCAGGCCTTGCCATCTGGGCAGTGTGTAGTCTGTGGCTTACCACGATTTGCTTGAAAGGGAATTAAGGGGGCGCACAAAAAAACTCACGGCACCAGAGACTAACATGTTAAACCTCTGAACAAGTGTACAGTGTTCGACTCTAGCTGTCGCCCCGATGTATGCGAGGAGACACAGGCTGTACCAAACAACGGCTCTGACCGTCCGGACGATGCCTCGGTACTTCAGCCGAAGAAGACCGCACGTTCCTCCGAGGAATTATATTTCATTTTTGCAGCCAGTCACACATCCATCTCGCCTCGTTCCATCCTCATTTTGCCCTGCATTCCTATAAACCCGTTCAAAGGACTCCCAGAATATAGAGGATAATACTGTAATAAAGGATTATTATGGGGAGGCATAGCTTGTATTCTAGTAGTAGTGCCTTACGCCGATAATACTCCCAGCACGAGTCAGTGATTTCCTGCTCAGATACAGTAACAGTACTCATCTCTTGTATACAGAGCCTGGCACCAGTGGCGGAAATTCCACATTCCTTTTGGCAGGGGCGAGTCTATCCATAGGACAACCACTTGTTGACTTAATCACAAAGTGGTGCCCTATTTTATCCGGTCCGATGGACCGAGTACAATGTCGAACAACCATTTGAACCGTTCCCCGAGTAAGAACTCATAAGAAGCGAGGCTCAGCACTTCAAGACATCTCCCCCGTCTAGGATTCTGCTCCACGTCTCTCTCTCTCTCTCACCTTGAGCAGCGCCTCCTGCCGCAGATCCAGCTGGCGCAGCTTGTGCTGCGTCTCCTGCAGCTGCACCTGCAAGGTGCCCGCCCAGCCCCGGCCGAAGCGGTGCCACTCGCGGGCAGCCTTGCGGAATCTCTGCCTCTCCTCGTCCAGAAAGCAGCACACCTCTTTCAGATCTTCGTTCTCCTTCCGAAAGCGCGCGTTCTCGCTACGCAGCGCCGACAGCTGCTGCTGCTGCTGCTCTTGGTCTACTCCTCCTGCTCCGGCGGTGGTGGCGGAGGTCCCGGCAGGTCCTTGCGGGAGCTGTCGGCTTCGCACGATGCGAACGAGCTCTTCCTTGCTGAGCCTCATCAAGCCGTCGTTCACCATGGACAGCTGCGGTCTCGGGGACTTGCCCGGGTTGGCGTGAAAGTTGGTCGTCATCTTCACGAGATTGTCTCGACAACACGTGAGGTGGTGGTGGTGCGTGTGGTGGTGGTGGTGCGTGTGGTGGTGGTGGTGGTGCGTGTGGTGGTGGTGGTGGTGCGTGTGGTGGTGGTGGTGGTGCGTGTGGTGGTGGTGGTGGTGCGTGTGGTGGTGGTGGTGGTGCGTGTGGTGGTGGTGGTGGTGCGTGTGGTGTGGTGGTGGTGCGTGTGGTGGTGGTGCGTGTGGTGGTGGTGCGTGTGGTGGTGGTGCGTGTGGTGGTGGTGCGTGTGGTGGTGGTGCGTGTGGTGGTGGTGGTGCGTGTGGTGGTGGTGCGTGTGGTGGTGGTGCGTGTGGTGGTGGTGCGTGTGGTGGTGGTGCGTGTGGTGGTGGTGCGTGTGGTGGTGGTGGTGTGCAAGACGAACAACGCGTGGCTCGCTCACGCCGCGAACGGGATGGATGGGATGGTGCCTCCACTCGACAGAGATCCAGACAGCACCCTCGCTACGGTGTACTTGGCCTACTCTTCCACTCTTTAAAACAAAAACACACACACACACGCGCTTGTTAATTTTCGCCTCGAGTTCGCGCAGACATTAGTCTCATACGCAGTCCTCAGCACAGTGTACATAAAGTGTAGTTAATAAATAATGCTTTATACTAGTCGCCTGCTGGACTTTAATCTGTTCGGGCTGGTAAACGTTTATGCAACATAGGACGGTCGCAACTACAGCACTGACATCCGCATAAGATGAGAATAACAAAGTACATCTCTTGAGGGTAAATATAAATTAACTTGTGTCAACTAAGCCAAGTCGCCCTCCCCGCCTCCACACTCAACTCCACCCATTCATCGCCGATTGGCAATCAATTAACCAAATCGGACGAGATCAACCGAGCCGAAAGCGACATTCGCCATAATTTCCCGAATACGAGAAGCCTATAAACAGCCCTGTCAACCCCTTATCAGTGCCATAGCTTATTACAGACCAATTCAGACTTCATTGGTAAAACCCGTGTCCTTTTATACATCTCAACGTTCATCCTAAAAAGTCAAATCACAAGGGAGAAACACAGACACAAAAAAATGTGTTTCTACTCATTTTCCCTGTACACGAATAAGGGGTGAACCGTAGGGGTTGACAGGTATGATAGTGTAGTGTATAGTGTAGTGTATAGTAGTGTAGTGTATAGTAGCGTAGTGTATAGTGTAGTGTATAGTGTAGTGTATAGTGTAGTGTATAATAGTGTATAGTAGTGTATAGTGTAGTGTATAGTAGGGTTTAGTAGTGTATAGTGTAGTGTATAGTGTAGTGTATAGTAGTGTATAATAGTGTATAGTAGTGTAGTGTATAATAGTGTATAGTAGTGTAGTGTATAGTGTAGTGTATAGTGTAGTGTATAATAGTATATAGTAGTGTAGGATATAGTGTAGTGTATAATAGTGTATAGTAGTGTATAGGAGTGTATAGTAGTGTAGTATAGTAGTGTATAGTGTATAGTAGTGTATGTGAGTGTAGTGTGTAGAGTGTACAGCACATACCTGTCAACCCCTTATCAATTCAGACATTGCTCACCCCGTGTCCCTTATAAATCTCAACGTTCATCCTATGAAGTGTTGCCACTCACTTTCCCCCGTGCAAGAACAAGGCGCAGTAACCCGCACGGCTTGGCAGCTCCGCTCTTACATCTCCCGGAGGATCCGCGCGTTCAGCACCCAACACTCGTGGACTGACAGCGGCCCCCTGAAACTCTTCTTCTCACGCCCTGGAGTCGAGAGAGAGAGATGAGGTCCTCACCACGCTCGTTCATCGAAGAGATCGGCGTCTTAAAACCATCGGGCTACCACCTTCCTCCTCCTTCTCCTCCAGCCCGGACACACGAATGACGCGGGCTGACGAAGCGCGACTGCAAACCGAGAGGATGGTTGTTGACACTTTACGCGAGCCAGTCACCATTAGTCAACAACCACAACAACATCGCCAGCAGCAAACCACCCCACTACCACCACCGCCGTGTCCGACCACGGCAGTGGAGAGCGAGGGGGGGAGGAGGAGGTTACGATGCGAGAGGGAGGGAGAGAGGTTTGGGGTCGTGGCTGTGTGTACAAGGGGAGGGGAATGGGAGGGTGAGTGAGTGAGAGAGGTTTAGGGTTGGGGGGGGGAGTAGACAAGGAACGCCTTCCAAGCAGGTGACAGGGTACAATGAAGGTTTTTTTTATTTGTAAAAAAGAATTCTAAAGCCGGGGCTGCCTGCCTTATGGGTGGCGTGGGTGGTTGCTGTTAGCTGCCAAAGACAATGATCCCCCGTGTAGCCTTAAACAGCAGACGAAGGAGTGGCGAGGTCACGCCCGGCCGCCTTTGTCTCCCTAGTGGCGATGTTGACAAACCACGCCGAGAGAACGCTGGCCGTGGGGGATCTCATACTGCTCAGTCTATTCGCTAGAGGGCGCACAACGTGAAGGTTGCAATTTGATGACACGGAGAGCAACTGCCGTGATGGGGCCTCCTGCCGTGATGGTGGCACCGATTTGAACAAAGACTTCGCATAGCTGCCAACCCGTACGGATTACCCCGTATTGTTGAACAGGGAAATTCAGTTTTCAGGTCCATACGGCGTACAGCCGTTTCAATACGGGCAAAAAAAAATTTGGTCTATTTGCGTTTCTCTCTTGTGATGGGATTTTGTAGGATGAACGTTGAGATGTATAAGGGCACGGGGTTTACCAATGAGGTCTGAATTGGGCTGTAAGAATGTAGGGCACTGATAAGGGGTTGACAGCTGTGGCTTCGTACTCGGAGGTTATTCGGGAATTTCCAGGAATAAAACTCTGAACGCACGGTCACAGTTTTCTGGAACTCTGTTCTCCGTTCGCACCCCGAGGAAGAAGATGGAGCAGGAACGCCTCCGATAGGTGACGCTGGTTAAAAAAAAAACGAATCTACGAAGTGAACCCTTTACTTTGTACCGCCATCTATTACCCACCTTGCAGTTGCACACCTACAACACCTGGTATATGCACCGGTAGTCACCCATACAAGCAATCACCAGGAGGGCAGGGGTCCCCAGACTTGTTCAGATATCACTTACGGTGCTTTTTCTGGTTACGGTGATTTTTCTGGAAGATTTTGCTGTTTTTCCTGGTTTTTTCTGTTTGCGCATATTCACTTTAAGATGTTTTCTTGTTCATTTTTAGTTTTTTGTTTGTTGCGGTTGCACCCGAGTCAAGAGCCGAATGGCTCACAGGGCTATACCAACTAAATGAAACTGAAAACTGAAACTGAAACGGATGTGAGCCGTGGCTCGGAATTGAACTCATGTCATTGGGACCACCGTGCAGTGGACGGACCACTGCACCGGCGTTCCACGTGGTAACTCCCTCGCCTGGGATGCGGGAGGCTGTGGGTTCGATCCTCACCCTGACGCCTGCTGTGTATTTGGAGTTTGCGTGTCTCTCTCCCTGTAGTCGCGTGGATTTTTCTCCGGGTCCTCCTGGTTTTCCCCTCCACACTTAGAATCAACGTGCGTTTGGAGTATTTGGCTGCTGTACATTTCGACACGATAAGCCACTTCGTTGAACAATCATTTGTGGCCAGGTCGCTTCTAAAAAGAGCTACACAGCTGAAGTGGGCCTTACCTGGTCAAATAGTAACAGTCCAGTGCCTCTGATTTCTCTCCACATGCCCTGGAACTCACACCCCACACCCCATAACTGCGATTGTAGGGGCACGATGACCCCAACTAATCTCGCCCACTCTGCTCACGGCCGAGACGCGTGCTGTCATCCGTGCTGCGTCACCTCATCCCTCAAATGCAGCCTCTGCAATGACTCACGAATTCAGGGCAAGAGTCACACGCAGAAGAAAAAAAAACCCACGCACAACATTGAACAATGTGGGAGTGTAACAATTGGTCCCCTTTCTCTATTCAGTTGTTGTAATTGGAGCTCACGATTATTATTCAAGAGTATTTTTTTTTATGTTGGGGTGAGTCACAACAACTGTGTGTGTATGGTGGGCTTCCTACACCCTATTACAAACTACATACACGAGTACAAAAATGGTCAATTCTTAGACGCACGATTTGATCCCAATGTATAGTCGGATCAAATGTTTTATCAGTTCTGTAATAATTTCAATAAAACACCACTGAAGACAATGCATTTCCATGTTTTCCGTTATTGGGAGATATTCTTGCGTTAAATTAATAATAATCCCAAAAATTGTATACTTATTTGGCAGCGATATGGAAACAAATAAGGGTTACGACACATTTATAAATAACGCGATCTAACCCAAAAAACCTTTATTATGAGTAATATTGGTCGCGAAAGCCTATATGTGTTAAACTAAATAACAAAAACTCAACGCATTTGTCAATACTACTGCGCTCAAGAGGAAAACTAAAACAATGGGAGGGGGGGGGGTGTTTCAGGCAGTTGTCCCCTTGTTATAGGAGAGAGATCGATATGGAGAGAATATCAATAAACCTTACAATGGCACCTCTTATAGATTCCCTCCTCTTCAGATCAGTGTTATTGTGGAATGTTTTGACTTCTTGTAATGTATAATATAGCTGTCTATCTCAACAGGCTGTCTCAATTATACATTTACAAAGTAAAATGTAATACAATTAAACCAAATGATGTACTGTAGTGCTAGTCAGTTTAATTGTCATTGCTATTAAGGTATGACGCTTACCTACACGAAGACCAGATATATCGCATTGCATCAACGCAAGCCCAATCAACGTAAATTGCTCTCTGACAGAATATCCGCAAATTAATTAGTGGATATGGTCAAACATTGCCTCCAACTGTCGAGTGTAATCATTTTAATTGCGGCCACTAAAAATATAATCGGGCGTGGACTTAACTCCTCCAAAGACCGAATTGAGTGACGGCCCTTTCTGTTTTGTTCCGCGCTCGGCTAAGCCACGTGTGGGACGAATAGTGGGATTTTCTTTGGTTGCAACTTAATTTGAGTGGAATTGCTTATCATGCTCCGGTGGAAATACAATAGCGGTCACTTGATGAATTAAACATTGTGTGTTGGGGGTGGGCGGAGTGGCTTTAAGAAGATTGACCCATCTGTTTTGGGAGGATAAAAATTAGACGGTGATGTTACGTGTC